GTGTAATACACTCATCATCTCAGGGCTGAGCTCAGGGATGCTGAGGAGGAAGGGATGGTTTCCTGCAGGGTTTCCTGAAGCTTTTTCAGCTTTTGAACTCATTTCCTTGCCTGAAATACCTGACATTTCCTGCGGGTGCTGCCCAGGCCTATCAGGGGAGGTTTGCTCTCTGTGGTTATTGCAGCAGGAGGCCGAAAAGAGATCACAGCAGCCCCCAGGGTGGGGTTTCCACCGAGGCCAGAAGTTTTGACACAAATCCCACCCCTAAATTCCCAAGAAAGCAGGAATGCAAAAATCCCACCCCAAAAATTCCCAGAAACCAACCTGGGCTGGAAAAAACCCTCCTGAAAATTCCTGAGAGCAAACAAGAGCTACACAAATCCCACCCCAAAATTCTCACAAAGAAACCTGGGCCACAAGAATCCCACCCCGAAAATTCCTACAAACAAACCTGGGCTGGAAAAAACCCTCCTGGAAATTCCTGAGAGTAAACAAGAGCTACACAAATTCCACCCTAAAATTCCTACAAGCAAAGAAGGGCTACACAAATTCCACCTGACAATTCCCAACAAGGCAGGGTTACACAAATCCCATCCCAAAATTCTCACCCCAAAATTCCCACAAACAAACCTGGGCCACAAAAATCCCACCCCAAAAATTCCCACAAACCAACCTGGGCTGCAAAAAACCCTCCTGAGAATTCCTGAGAGTAAACAAGGGCTACACAAATCCTACTCCAAAATTCCTACAAACAAACCCGGGCTGCAAAAATCCCACCTGAAAATTCTCAGGAATAAACCAGAACTAAACAAATTCCACCCAAAAATTCCCACACTCAAATGCCAGCTGAAAATCCCCAGGGCTACACAAATCCCACCCAGAAATGCTCTAAAGCAAAACACAGCAACACAAAATTCCCTTTTTCAAAGCCATTTCATTTTGATTCAATTATTAACTAAAATCTTTATTAAATGGGAATAAAACATCAGTTCCCTGACCCCAACCCAAAGATCCTGGAGTGAGTGTCCAGGTGTGCTGCTTTCTACTCTGGTATCCTCTTCTTGATAGCAGCTGATGGATTTTAATTTATTTATCCATCTTCACCAGGGCATTACCACATCTCTGAATGTTTCTATCACCCATTAAATAAAAACTAAACCCACTTTAAATAACTTTAATAACTTCTTACACCTTAAGAAACCTGTGTAAAAGCAATAAACAGAGAGGGATGGCCACTTTACAACACCAAACTAGTGCAAGTTGTTTTCATTTCCACAGCTCTAAACCCAGCTCCAGTTTGAACTTGAATGAGTTTAAGCACCAAGAGCCCTCACGCTGATCCACTGGACCAGAATGAAATTCAAGCACTACTTCAAAGCTTATTTGCATAGAGAAATATAAACCAGGAGGCATTTGCATCTCACCAGGGGCAACCTCAGCTCCTTAAAAATTCCCATCTCCTCATTTTCGTTGATTTTAGAAGGGGAAGGAGGCGACCAGAGCCCCCCAAGAAGAGCAAGGAGCTTGTGATGAGCTCCAGATGAAGGGATTCAACCACTAAACCAAGCCTAGAACCTCTCACTTGGGTCTTAAAAAAGCTGCTGCAAATTTGGGGCGTTTCTTTTTAATCAATATAAAACCCCTTTTGTAAGGCAACTTTAAACTTTCTTTTAAACGTGTGTGGATAATCCAGTTTGTACAGAATGTTTTCTAAGACCTCCAAGGTGCCCTGGAAAGCACAGAGGAAAGGCTGGGAGGGTTGGGATTGTTCACCTGGAGTGGGTGACCTCAGGGGTGACCTCATTGTGGCCTTCAAGGGCCTGATGGAGCTGCAGGAAATATGGAGAAAGAAAATTTCCAAGGGCTTGGAGCGCTAGGACACAGGGAACTGTTTCCTATGGCCAGAGGGCAGGGATGGATGAGATATTGGGAAGGAATTCCTGGCTTGGAGGGTGATGAGGGGCTGGGAAGGAATTCCCAGAGCAGCTGTGGCTGCCCCTGGATCCCTGGAAGTGCCCAAGGCCAGGCTGGGATAATCAGGAACAGTGGGAGCTGTCCCTGCCATGGCAGGGCTGGCACTGGGTGGGCTTTCATGTCCTTCCCACCCAAACCATTCCAGGATTCCATGATTTCATCCTGCAGGGAGAGCAGAGGGAGGGAACAGCTAATTCCTGGAGACACTCAGGGATATCCTGCCAATCCCAATCCTGCTTCAATGAGTCTTCAAGGAGGATGCACAAACCAGGGACAGATCCAGCTCTGGACAGAACCAGGACTGTGAACATGCAGGCCTGGCTCCAACCTGAGCAGGAATTCCAGCCCAAGCAGGAATTCCAGCCCCTTGAGCCTGGGGCTGGAGAGAAAGTGAACTGTAAGTCATTCCCAAGGCACTTGCAGATAAGGCCTAAACTAATTAATATCAGAATTATTGATGCACAGCAAATATTTTGCAACTAATTTATCTGAAACTCTGCCACCACTTCCCATTTCCCAGCATTGATTTATAAATCATTGAATAAACAGTGGCATGTCCAATAAATACTTTATGAATGTTTGCCAGCCATTTATCTTACATAATATGATATAAATACATTGCAAATACCACAATGTTTGAGAAGACTGTTTATAAATTACAACTTGAATATCATCAGCAGTTTATAGGAGTGTTGCTCCCTTTGTCCAACACAAGGAATTTAAAAGGGATTTTCTAACCCAGGCCATTCTATGATTTTATGACAAGATTTTATGATGTATTTTACTGTAAATTATTGCGACCACATTTTCTATCCCAGCAGAACACTGACATCACCGTATCTGCCAACCTGCCCTCTCTTTCAACCCTAAACCCCAGGAGGATTTGGGAGGAAAATGCTTTCTTTTCCCTCCCTCATCAGCCTCTCAAGATGCCCTGGATCCCGCTGTTCTGAGCACGCCCTTTTAGCAACGAGAGCCCTCCAGAGCGCTGGGGAGCCCGAGGCGCTGATTGAAAGTCACGAGCTGCTGGAGTTTGTGCCTTATCAACTTGATTTTCCTCTGCCTTTTTAATACACAAAACATCACTGGGGGGTAGCAGGGGAGGGGGGGCAGGCACAGAGGCCTGGTTTGACTTTGTCACCGATTGCCGTCTTGCTGGCACCAGCAGCTGTCACTGAGAGCAAGCTTGCAAAGAGCTGGGTTTAATCCCAGAATCACTGGCTTGGAAGAGACCTTTAAGATCCAGTCCAACCCAGCCCAAACACCTCAACTCATCCACGGCACCCAGTGCCACATCCAGGCTTTTTATAAACACATCTAGGGATGGTGGCTCCCCCCACCTCCCTGGGCAGACCATTCCAGTACTTCATCACCCTTTCTGTAAAAACCTTTTTCGTAACATCCAGCCTAAATTTCCCTTGGCTCAGTTTCAGACTGTGCCCCCTGGTTCTTCAAGGCTGGGCCTTGAAAAGCTCCCAGTTAGAGCCAGGGAGGAATGGAAAAGCTAAATGTATTCCAGAAGGCTCCCAGGAAAGCAAGGGCTCCACACAGGTGAGGCAGCAGAACCCCCGAGCTCCTGCAATGCCACTGCTCCACCTTTTTTCCTCAGAGTCCACAGGAATGGCACAGGGATGGGATCTGCTCCCTGGCCAGGGGCAGCTGATCACCTGCATCACACCTGGCTGAGAGGAGGTCACTCCTGACTACTCAAGGCTGCCTTGCAGATGCTGCTGCCGAGATTGGAATGACTCTCTTCCTTTCCTGCCCAGCTCTGGATAAATCCTGGACAAAAAAAAAAGTAAAATACAGAAATTACTAAAAGAAGCACAAACAAATTTGGCAGTTTAATTATAGTTTTTTAGAGAACTTCTCTTAACCTGTAACTCAGTCCTACAACTTTGATAAACGTTAAATTATATGAAGATATTGCTCAATTAATTGTTAAACTCATGTAAATAATTCACGGAATAATGGAATCCTGGAGTTTGAGTTGGAAGGACCTTAAAGCCCACCCAGTGCCACCCCTGCCATGTCAGGGACACCTCCCACCGGCCCGGGTGCTCCAGCGTGGCCTTGGGCACTTCCAGGGATCCAGGGGCAGCCACAACTCCTCTGGGAATTCCATCCCAGCCCCTCCCCACCTTCCCAGGGAGGAATTCCTTCCCAAAATCCCACCCCACCCTGCCCTCTGGCCATAGGAAACCATTCCCTGTGTCCTGGCCCTCCACCCCTCACAAACCATCTCACCTGGAAGGTACAGTGAGTGGAGCCCACAGTCTCTCTTCTCCAGCCTGACCAACCCCAAAGAATTCCCGGTGTCCCAGAGGCACTGGAGCCCTCCTGCCCTGGGAAGCAGCAGGAGATGCTGACACCCATCTGCAGCTCCCCGGGGCTCTGGGAGCACTGGGGAGCACCGGGAGCTCTGCAGCAGAGCCCTGCCTCGGACACTGTGTTAGGAATGGCCAAGTGACGACACAGACTCTGGCTTTGCTTGCAAAAGGAGCCAGTTTTATTCTTCCAGAGCTTCTTTCATAGACAGCTCCGGGAAGGTCTGGAAAAGTAAACTTTTATTGGTTATCAAAACAACACATCACCACCATTGGACAATTAGGAACAACTCCATTGACCGTTTCTTACAAGTAAACAAGGAACAAACACCACCTGAAAGGGCTGCTTTCCGTCTCCAAGGACTGTTTGGATTCCTCTTTATGATTTCTGAGGCTGGAGTGAGAAAGTTGTGTACTTGACCTTCCCACAGCCTCAAACTAGCACCTGAAGCATAAATATCTCTTTATTTGACCATTATCAATTCCCACAGGGCGCGGTTTGGTTTTACCAGCCTGGGGTCTGATCCAGCACAGCTGTGGTGTGACACAGCGCTGGAGTCCCAGGCTGGGTGACCACACCAAGTGTGGGGAACAGCCCCTGAATTCAGCAGCAGCAGCTGAGCCTTAGAGCTGCTGTTGTACAGCACGGTGCAGCTGTCAGCACAAGGAAGGAACAAAGATGAGGAGGATCTGCTCTGCAGGAGCTCCAGGACCAGATCCATCCCCGGGCAGTCAGGGACAAAAAGCCTCGCAGAATACTATGCTCTGGTTTAAATACAGAGAAGTTCAGGGGGTGGGTACAAACTTTTAACCAATCAGGGATCAACATGGGAGGAGCAGGAGGCGGGGTTTACAATACAGGGACCAATAAGGATAAGGGGAGGAGAAAACAGGTCACATGGGCCAATTGGGGCATGGAGGGTTAAAGGAGTGACAGAGAGGTGGGGCAATCAGGGATTGGCCCAACTGTGGATTGACAGGGAAGGGTCTGGAAGAAGGGGCTGGGTTGCAGTGACAGGCAGGGAAGGTTCTGGAATAAGGGGTTGGGCCACAGGCAGCATAGGTGGGGCTAAAACTTAAGGCCAAACCAACTTTAGGGGACCATAGGAAGAAACCATTAACTACACAGCTATATATTAACAACCTATTAAAATAAACACACACCGCAACAGTGGCAGGGCTGGGATGTGTCCCCTGGCCCCAGTGAGCACTGGCAGCATTCCCTGCTGGGCCTGATTTACCCTGAGCTGGCCACACTTTGTTAAATCCCAGCAGCAGGGCCCCAAGGCCAGGGATGAGCACCAAGTGCTGCTGGAGTGACTGCACAGAGCAAAGGAGGGAAATTCCATGTTTTACTCCACTTGGGACCCAGCTCTGCTCTGAGTTCCAATTTCTTTACCGAGATTTTCTGTTTAAGTCTTTTACAGAATGGGGTCGGGCTGGGAGTTTTTAGTCAGAGAATTGTGGAATTGTTGGGGTTGGAAGGGACTGGAAAATCCATTTCTGATGTCCTGCAGGTACATCTGCCACTGTCTCGGGTTGCTCCAAACCCCATCCAACCTATCCTCGGATACCTCTAGGGATGGAGCAGCCACAGCTTCTCCCACTAAAGGGGCTGGTTTATTCTTATTTTTAATTTATTCTTATTTTTGTTATACTGATAATGACACTTTTTAGAATCAAGATAATCAAATCTCATCTTCCCAGCGATGAGCAGGATCTCTGGGGATCAGAACGTTTCCTGCTCTTGCCCTGAGGAATGGGTGGTGTGTCCCTGAAATCCGCTTTCCTCCATTTTCTGGGGATCAAGAAAAGATTTTAATTCCTGCCCTCCAACAAGCCCAAGCTACAAGTCACTCTGAGCCTTCTTTATTGTTCTCACTCTTATGAGGAAGGCATTAATATCAGACAGGTAATTTATTTTTCTTAATTTAAGGCAAGGTTCCAGCTTGATGGACTCACAGCCCCACCAACCCCCCTTCTTTTCTACAGCTTTAAAAAAGTGACAAGTGACATTTAAAGGAGCCAAAACCACCTAAAAATTAATAACTTTCAATACACACTACATTAGAGCCTTAAATCTTCATGCAGCTTGAAAATATCTATAAAAGCACTAGATTTGCCATGGCCAACGTGCCAAATTCCTTCAGGGACTTTTTCCAGTGGGGAGTCAGGATAAAATTGTGTTTATCAATCTTTGGAACACTTGCAATTCATTACTGAAAAGGGCAGCTCATTCCAAAAGATTTTTAAATCTCATAGCAAAATATTGCCAGCCTTGGAAATAACTCGGAGCAGGAAAAGTGCTGGGACAGGCTCTGGGATGCAGATCCCACCTCAGCACTCCCAGGACAGGGGAATTTCGGTGCCCCATGGACATTTGCAAGGTGACTATGAGTGAAGGAGAAAAGCAGCATCTGATTTTTCCCCAAATCTTTGAGAATCTCTTATTTAGACCCATCAGTTGTTGGTTTGTTTGTTTTTGTTTTTGTTTTTGTTTTTGTTTTTGTTTTTGTTTTTGTTTTTGTTTTTGTTTTTGAAGCTCAGCAGCTTCTCTGGGGGTTCTGTGACCTCCAAGATGCCACAAAGCCACCATTCACCAACGAGGTCCCTTCATTAACTCCTCTTTTGCTGTTTGCTGGGAGAGGAATCCCTGGGAACACCATCAAAGTTTAATTTTTAATTTTTAGGTCTTACCTGGAGATCTGTTGAGTTTCTCCATTCTCCCTTGCAGAGCAACCACTTCCCTCAGCAGAACTGTGTGGAGTAGAACTCTGAGGAGAGTTTGGGCATGGTCTGAAGCTGAAGGTGCAACAGAATCACGTGAATCCAGGAACTGAGACTTTAAAAAGAGCACAAAAATTAAAAAACTCATAACAAAACACATCAATCTCGGCTTTTGGCATTATGGCCAAAGAGCAAATTTTTTATAAATTTCTTTGGCTTTAATTTCAGGCAGGAGAGTTAAAATTTGGATTTTTGTAAAATCTGGAGCCCCACATCAACTTGTAAAGAACCCTTTTGATCTGACCACCTGAGCTCAGCCCGATGGCTTCTGATTTGATCAAAGGAAATCCAGGACACAATTTTTTGGCTCTTCCAGACTTTAGCACTTGAGGAAGGTTTAACTTCATGCCTTGAACTCATTCTTGGAGTGTTTTCTCCTTAATTTTTAAGGATACAAACAGAAGTTAGGGGCTTCTTACCCAAACTGGCAGCAGGGTATAAATAGAGGAAACCCAGCAACATTTCAGGCAGAAAAACATGAATTTACCCAGAGACTGTGCCCACAGGAGTTTATTTTGTTCCCACAATTCCCACTAATTGCCAAGAAAATCTGTAATCTAATGTCAGATACAAACATCCTCCAAATCAATGCTAAAATTAGGTTATTTTGAAATACGGAAATAAAAAAGGGGGAGTTTGTTTAATTTTACCTTCTCTTTCAGTGGCTTTTCCCAGAATACAAGGGGAAGTTGCATTCAAGATGATTATAAATGAAATGAAAAAATAAACAATATATCTTCCAATATCCACATGCCCAGCAGGTGGGGGGGGTTAAGGAAAAAAGACACCAAGACCAGAAACATTTCTGGGTGACATTTCCTTCCCCGGTCCTAGCAGATGCAGAACAATCCTCTCAAAAATTATACCAGGATTTTACAATTGCTTTTAATGATCCTTACAATAAAAATATTTCCGTTCTCATCTTTCAGGAGCATGGGAATGCTGTTCTCCTTTGGATGTTTATTGGAATGCATCCTCCTGCTGACCTGGAGCCGCCAGGAGTGGCTGGGAGCTCTTCCATTTTCAGCTGCATGGGTCAGTGTTTTGAACTCCGTTTGAAGGGAACTCGTGTTTGGAGCAGCATTTTCCCTCCATCCATGGCACTGCCAAGGCTGAGATATCTCAGGAGATCTGATCTGGAAATTCCTCACCCTTGGATTTCCACTCGATTTTCTTTTCATTTCCTGCCCAACACTTAATTGTAAATGCGTTTAAATCCATGCATCAGGTTCACTCCGTGTGTCTGCGTTTCCCTGCCTAGCCCAGCACATCCATCCCCATCCTTCCTTGCCTTTCAGGGAAAAATAAATCAGTTTTCCAGGTAAGAAACACAGGAGACAATATGATATTGTATCTATGAGACAGCACTCAGCCCTTGCAGGAATTCATTAAGCCTCATGTATTTCACATAACACACCCAAATAAATACCTGAAATCATCATCAAATTCAATCTGTCCTAAACTTTGTCCATGTGTTATTCCCCCTCCAGGTAAAAGCTCATCCCTTGCGTTCTACTCTGAGTTGGTTTAGCTCCAGCTCAGGTTTGCAAATGAAAAAACTCATTTCTGATTAAAATCCCAACTTTTAGTTTAAAAAAAAGTTGTTTTCCCTCTCTTCCCCTCCCCCAGCCCCCAAACTACCTCTTTTTTTTTAGACAAACAGAATAAATTGAGCTTCTCCAGACTCAGGTTTTTAAAATTCAGAACAATTCCCTGATCTCCTTCCAAGATGGGAGAAACAGGGCCCAGCACCATCCCCTGTCTCCACGGGATCCCCGTGTCACACACCCAGAGAAATCATTCAAACAGTAGCTTGGCTGTGGTGTCCCAACCACAAAATAATATGTTTATTTTTTTTCCACCACTTTTTTTTTTGTTTGTTTGTTTGTCGTTGTCATTTTATTGATAAAAACTACACAAAAACTAACTGATCATAATAATTAATTAAAAAAAAAACCAAACCAAAAACAAAACCCAAACCGAAAAACAACGTTACACATTCTGCTGTGTTTTAGAAATTGTGTCAGCCAGTGAGTTGCGCTAAATGCTCTTTAAAATATTTTCCTTCTGATCCATTTCAAGCACTTCACTTCCATTTTGGTTCCCAAACGTCCATGAATTTTGCTTAACAAGCACCACTGGCTTGGAAATCTGAGTCGTGACTCCGTTGCAGTATTTTCCCCTTTTTTTTAGAGCCCGAAAAGGAATTAGAGTGTCAACAATGAAGCACAATGAAGATAAAAAATCAAAAGCCCCCTCCATAGTGTACAGCCTGTGTCTTAAATGTACATGCACCCGAGTTTCTTTGTTTCTGCTGCATCAATTGCCAAGGTCCTTTTGGTTCAACATAAGCTTTAATGCCCATGTCTGAAGGTTGAAATATTAACGTTCGACCACTTAAAAAAAACCCAAAAAAAACCAAAAACAAAAACCCAGCCATAAAAACCAACCCCCAAAAGGAAAAAAGAAAATATAGAGCTATCTTTTGTTGGTTTAAAAAGAACAAAAATAGTCAACGGATCTTTGTAATAAACACTTAATAAGGGAACATGGCTGACCCTCCCCAGAGCCTTGCCCTCCCCACCCCATTTATTTTTACCTGTGGTTCTCCTTCCCTGGAACCGTGCAATGTAGAAAAATCAAATATACAAACAAAACTCTTAATCCATCCCTTTATGTAGCTAGAGTGAAATCTATTTGTTGTTGTTGTTGTTGTTGCTGTTGTTCTTTTTAATAAGAACTCGACAATCTCTCTCTTTAATATTTACACTGAGGAATTTGTTTGAAAGTTTAAAGCAAAGAAAATCCTGAAGTTCTCCGCGCGCCTTCTGCACGCCGGCGTTCCCGGAGGCCGCGGCCATCCCCTGCCCTCGGAACATCTGGAATGGTGGGGTTGGAGCGCCTTGCCTGGTCTCTTCCCAGACGAAAGGTCCCTCCCAGAGCTGTCCCCCGGAGGCGGCCCCACGTTAGTTGGGTATTCTCTCGATGTAGATGGCGGGGGCGGCGGAGCGCGCGATGGTGGCGATGAAGCTGTGGTCGCGGCCCAGGTCCAGGTTGGAGGTCTCCACCTGCTCCCGGGACACCGTCTCGTAGCCCTTGTTCACGTGGAGGGGCTTGTGGGCCTGGCAGTAGCCGATGACGGGCTGGTCGTAGCTGTAGTAGGGTAAAGTCTTCATGTGGTGAGGGACCTGCACCAAGAACGGGACCAAAGAACAGCAACTGTCACTCGTGTTCATGCAGCATCACCAGCAATCCCAACACAGCCTCAATCCCCCGGGATCAGCCCACAGGAGAAACCCCCGAGAGTTCCCGGCTCCCTGCAGCACATTTGGGTCCCTCTGGAACAGCACTGCCAGGCTGGGAGAGCTGCGGGTGCTCAGGCTGGAGGAGGAAATGCTCCAGGGGGATCTTAGAGCTCCTTCCAGTGCCTCAAGGGGCTGATGAAAAGGAGGGAGAGGGACTTTTTCTATGGACAGTGGTTTTACACTGCCAGAGGGCACAGTTAGGTGGGATATTGGGAAGGAATTCCTCCCTATGAGGGTGTGAGGGGCTGAGATGGAATTCCCAGAGCAGCTGGGGCTACCCTTGGATCCCTGGAAATGCACGAGGCCAGGTTGGAGCCATCTGGGATAGTGGAAGGTGTCCCTGTCTTGGCAGGGGGTGGAATGGGATGATTTTAAGCTCCCTCCCAACCCAAACCATTCCAGGATTTCATGATCTGTGTCCCCACTCCTGGATGGATCTCCTTCCCGCCTGGCAGTGCTGGAGCTGGAGCAGAGGGAGCTGCTCTCCCTCCTCTCTCCCTTTCCCCAGTTTGTGGGCAGATGTTCAAACTGCTCGATTCTGACTCTTTGGAATGACCCAGTCTGAAAAACAAACCAAGGAGTTTGTAAACCCAGCAGCTTCCAGAAACTTTCCCTTTTCTCCAATGCTGGGAAAGGCTCTGAGGGTTTCTGGAGTGCCCAGACCAGCCTGGGAATGTCAAAGGCAGAGCCAGCTCGCAGTGGGGGTGGAGCCAGCACAGCTGGAACAGGGGTTTATTTCTTGGTGCCAGCACAGCTGGAACATCTGTTTATTGCTTCCAGGACAAAGCTGCTCACCCAAGGTCACGATTCCTGGCGTTCTTTATCTTCCAACTCCCCCAAGCCAAACACTGTCAAAGCAGCTCCACTGCTGCTCACCAGAGCTGAGCACATCCACACCTTGCACAAATGTATTTCCAAACCCTGCCAGATCCATCCTGAATCCCAACTCTTCCTTATGTAAATCCTCAGAAACTGCCAGGCCCCCACCTGCATTTTTTTAATTTTTTTTTTCCCCCTTCCATAAATATTCTACGCTTGCAAATGTTAATCCTACGACTAAATATGATTTATGGCACAACATCAGATACAAATCTTTGCAGATAATTTTATCATCTGCAAGAGATGAGCTGATCAAGTTGAAAGAAATATGCTCTGAGGGAGAAAAACACATGCGGCAGGAGAGAGAGAGGCGAGAGTTGATTCTAACGCTGCCAGCAAACCTGAGCTCATTATAGCTGGAGATATCCTACACATAATCCAATCTTGGAACAAATGCCTTTTGATTTTCCAGGCTGAACTTTAAGTGAAGACCACAGAGCTAATTTCTCCCAAATTTTCATTGCTCGGTGCACTTCATCCCAAAAAAGCATGGAAAAAGCAAAGGCATTAAGGCTAATTGGGAAGTTTTGCAGGGTCAGAGTTCCTCTTGATGTGGATCCCCTGCAGAACGCTGGAGAGATCCCAAAATCCTTCCAAGAGCTGGAATTCAGCTGAAAATATGATCTGACATGCCAGCTGAGTGGCAGGGATGCGGAGGACAAGCTGCTGGGCAGAATTTGATGGGACAACTGTGCTCACTTGTGGATTCACAAGAACCCAGATCTCCCCTGGATAGAGCAGTATCTGCGCCAGTCCCTGTCAGGGCTGAGTTTGGCCTCAGCTTTCAGGCATTTATGATTCCATAAAAGCCAAGGACTGTTTGTGTTCTGGAGAGCTGAGGGATGGAGGTCCTGGCACGGCAGCAATAACACACAGCCCATTAAACACCTGAGGCCTGGCTGCAAGCTCCAAAGGGGAGTCAAAGGGACCAGGATTTCCACAACATCCCTAAAAAGCAATAAACACGGGGTTTTCCAGCCCTTTTCCAGTGACTTTATAGAATCTCTCGCTAATTTTCACTTCCAAGGTCTGTGCACATACAAATCACAGCAGTAAGGGCGGAGGGAGGGTGGGTATACTTTATCAGCGTCACAAATAAAACAAAAGAGTTGTAACAGGTTAATTTGCAGGTTAAATGAAATCAGGATGCTGCAGGTTAATTTGCAGAGCATTTTTAGGATAATGAGGCCCAGCAAGGAGTTCTCAGGCCTGGCCCTCATGCTGCTCTTCCGCTCCCTCTTTTGGGGCCTGGATTTCACTAAGGGGAATTAAAGAAATAATTGTGTCAAATGGATGTGAGAAGCTTTGTCCTCCAGTAAAGACTGAAGGCAGAGATGCCACCAGCCCCTTCCACCCCTGACAGCCCTTGGGGTGCCTCTGGAACCAGGAAAACAACCACAAGAGCAATTCAAACCTTCCTGGTCAAAGGGAGGATGCCAGGGCTGTCCCACAAGGAGTCCTTCCCTTGGAAATAACTTTGCATTTGCAGGAAGACACAAGGGCTCAGTTTTTATTTACACTGGAGGTGACACCTGAGCCCCCAAAAAGCTTTTCCAGGACACAGCCTTGGCTGTGGAAACTGCTGCAAATGTGGGGACAACTGTGGCAGCACTCATCCAGTAAAAACATGGAAAACACTGGTGATACTCACTCTACACAAAGCTGTTACTACTCTATTTTTACAGATTCAGAGATCAACAAAACACATTCAAAATCATCGAAGTTGCAGAGAATTAATTTTAGAAGTGTTTTTGCTCTAGGATCTGAGGTAATTTCCTCTTTTTTTTTTCACTCCTGCTATGGAATTAATACCTGAGACACTCGGATGTGACCTTGCACAAGTCATTTTATGAGCTGGAAAATGAGAAGCTTCAGTCCTGCCCCTGCTCGTCCTTGGAGTCTGGAGCTCTCTGAGGTGAGGGCTGTTTGTGTGGGGACTGAAACAACCCAGCTGTGACCTAAGCTGGGCCTTCAGCTGCTTTGGCTCCAATAGACAAAAAAAAAAAAAAAAAAAAAAAAAAAAAAAAAAAAAAAAGCAAAAAAAAAAGCAGGAGAATAAATTCCGCTCAGATAAATAAAAAAATATCCAGACAAATAAATATAGCCCTGAGATCGTGTCCTCAGGCCCTGGAATGGGGTGGTGGTGGAGGCCCCATCCCTGGAGGGATTTAATGTGGAATCATGGAATGGTTTGGGTGGGAAGGGACCTTAAATCACCCAGTGCCACCCCTGCCATGGGACATGCTCCCACTGTCCCAGGCTGCTCCAAGCCCTGGCCTAGGACACTTCCAGGAATCCAGGGGCAGTCACAGCTCCTCTGAGCTACTGTGTCTCTCCACAGCATTTTCTGACAATTTTCTATCTAATTTTTCTCTTTTCATTTCCATTTTAATTTCTAAAACCAGCACTTCCCAATTCTTACCCGAACTACTTAAACTTTTTGTAGCAGGCTCCAAAGTCACCCACACAACACAAACATCTTGGGTTTAACCCATGTGTGGCACCAGGTAGAACTCTCTGCCACACTGTCCATCCTTCCCTGTGAGGGTGTGAGGGGCTGGGATGGAATTCCCAGAGGAGCTGTGGCTGCCCCTGGATCCTTGGTAGTGCCCAAGGCCAGGCTGGAGCAGCCTGGGCCAGTGGGAGCTGTCCCTGCAATGCCCATGGTGGTACTGGGTGGGATTTAAGGCCCCTTCCCACCCAAACCATTCCATGATGATTTTATTGTTCTACCCAAAATTGTAAAGTTAATTCAGCAAAGCCTGGAGTTCCTCCCCTGTGAGAGCTGGGAGTGTTCAGCGGGGTTTGGGCTCTAGGCCTGGATTAGTTTCCCAGTATTGACTTCTCAAGCCCCACCCCACAGATCTCCACTCTAAACGTAATAAATGTTGCATCCAAGCAGCCACACACTTCAAACAAAGCTCCTGTAACAAGCACAATTTACATAAATCCCCAACTAAGGGTGGAGGACAAAAGATTTAGCGGTGGGAATTTAAGGAATGCAAATCCTCCTGTTGAAGTCCAAGTGACACTGGAGAGGTTCCCAGCTCAGCAGCTTTGCTGGAGCACAGGTGCTCCCCTGAGATTCTGGCTTGTGTGAAAAGGTGAAACCCAAAATTCAGAGAGATTTTGGTCTGTGTGAAAAGGTGTAACCCAAAATTCAGGGAGATTCTGGCCTGTGTGAAAAAGTGTTACCCAAAATTCAGGGAGATTCTGATATGTGTGAAAAGGTGTTACACAAAATTCAGGGAGATTCTGGCCTGTGTTAAAAGGTGTTACCCGAAATTCAAGGAGATTCTGGCTTGCATTAAAAAGGTGTTACTTGAAATTCAGGGAGATTCTGGCCTGTGTGAAAAGGTGTTACCTGAAATTCAGGGAGATTCTGGCCTGCATGAAAAAGGTGTTTTCCAGCATGCCCTGCCCACTTTTCCTCTGACAGCCACCACTGAT